CATTACATTCTGTTCAAGTAAATCAAAATGATAAATAACGTTTTCGTGATTAAATGTTGCCCTTGATTAATATATATACAGATTTAACGTCTGTGATCCCAAAACTTCAAAGTAAACACTGAAAAGGACATTCTTGATTTTTGTCTTAATTTTTAGAATGGCAATGGACTTTGACCACTCCGGACCCAACAAATAAGGCAGAAAGTAAGCTGAAATTGTTACATTTTTAAAACCCTGCATTCATAAATGATTTATTTTTACAGCTGACCTGCCACATTAGTAACCTTGACACCTCTGATGAATTCAATCTTTGATGATGCCTAAGTTGACGGAGTTTTATGGGAATACATTTTTTTTAAAAGTATACAGTACTATTATTATTGCATTAACCAGTGCACCCTAAAGAAACAACTCAACTGCTAGATTTGAAACGTAAACTGTAAGCGTGAGTTTGATGAAACCGCCAGGGGATATTTTTCATTGCAATAAAAACAAAACAATCAGCTCTTAATTTGTAGGGATATAAACGCATGAGCTACGTGTTTCCATCTGTCAGAAAAAAAAAAGTTTGAAGCTTCAGTAAAATGATTATTAAAAAAAAGGTTAAATAACGTTCAGGCACACCACCCTGGGTGACATCACTACAACAGTATGTACGTATTCCATGCAGGAATCTTAAAAACAATTGTATGTATTCATTATTCCCCTCAGACTGCCCCCAAGCACACAGCCGTAGGTGTTAAATAAGAGCCGTTTGATTTTTTTTTTGGATTACATCTTCCTTTAGCACTGCCTATATTGTAGCACAACACATCAGAAAAGGCCAACAACACAAAGACGAGGGTTCTGTGCAGCGGAGAACAGCTTCAGGTTGGGTGGCCCTTGGCAATTCAGCCTTGGGGGAAATGTAAAGATCGCCCCAACTGCACTCCCGCCTTCTCCCCACAGCAGCATTTCTGATTATTGCATTATTTAAAAAGGTCACGAGTCCTGGGAAATAAGCAATGGGGCTGCACTGAAGGGAAGAAAAACAACAACAGCAACAACATAAACACAAGCTATACTGAGAAGGAACCAGGAAATATTTTATTCTGTTGGCGCAACCAGTTGCAAATACAAATACAGTCAGGTCACCTTCTCACGACGTAGTTGTTTATAAAATGGTTAGATACAGTACAAGGGACGACGTGTTTTGTTTTTACTCCCGCTGAATTGGATTCTTAAAAAAAAAACATTTATTTAAGTTGAAGGTTTTAAGAGTAAAATATCAATTAATGTTAGATTATGTTTCGGCAAAAGTAACTGTCCTTTTAAATGATCGGTTCCTATTTCCAAGTCAAAACGGTCTTGAGGAAGCATTATAGTGCTTGCTGGTGTGTTGAGAGATTTATTACACGTATTTATTTTGAGTTTTCTAGTGTCCTTCCATGGGTAGAGTTCTTGCTTCATGAATTAAAGTCAGAATTCACACAGCTGACCTACCATGCCTGCATGGGATTCCTGACAACTTCTCTTGAAGGGTACAAGCATCGTTTATTATGGTACAGAGATGTAGATTCTGCCTCAGCCACGGGAAACCCATTCCATTTGTGACATTACTTAAATGTGTATTTGAAGCAAGCAGGTCTAATCAAAGTGTGTGATGGCTATGTGATTACCTGTGGGAATTCAGATTTCATTGGCTCAAAAGGAAGGAGAATTCAGGATTTACTGCATAAACTGCAATGGTCACCAAAACTATGAAACCTTTGTGCACAGGCGGGGATTCATTTTGATATTGGTTTTATGTAAAAATAAGGCACAGTAGTTGGCAATATCGGTGAGATATCATTTGGTGGAATAAACCACACATAGGTGCGACTATAAAACTACTCAGTGATTGATTTTTACTAATATCATAACCTCACAGTGTTTTCCATGATATTTAAGACCAAAAATACATGAATGCATTACTTTATTTTAGCAGGTCATGTATTATACACATAAGTGGAACTCCTTCACCCATTGGCCTGCGAATTGGCTGGGAAATGGCAATATGCCAAGTTCATTCAATCAATTTGTAGCTTTTGAATTTTAGCTCCTCATACATACGTGAGTTCTTTCTGGGCACTCCTGTTTCCTTCAATATGCCAAACACTCCGTAATGTATTGGCCAAACATCCAAATATAGGAACATCCTAAAAGAGAGTACTACGACTCTGTGAGGCTTTCTTGGTCAAACAAAAGTAATCATATTTAATATATGATCGGGCACTGTTAAGTTTACTTTGGGGATTCATTTGCATGGTCAGTGTGCATTTATGATTGGTCAATATGTTTGTGAGTGTATAGATAAAATCTACTTAAGTATTTAGGTATTCAAATGTAAGTGTGTTTGTACATTCCACAATAACTTTCAGTTCGATGGTTTCCGCTCATTGTTGAACCAGTTTAAATATTGCTTGCTGTCGTCATGTTTGTTTTTATTACCTGCATAGGAAAGGAAGCTACACCCAATACTGTTAACATTCATCACGATCTAGTCACAAGGTTTTTAAAATATATATAAAATAAGAATATACTTTCATATTGAATATGGTACACACAAGTTCATGCATATACAGAGTGCTTAAAAAATGTTTTAACACTTATATTGGACTATCGTTTTTTAATGGAAAAAGAACACTGTAAAAAGTCAAAGAGTCTCCACTTAAATTTCGATTTAAAGCTTTCGTGACTGCAAGGATTCATCTTCTTTGGTTCTTTCGGTAAAGTCACGTAGAATGAGAATAAAATAATAAATTGATAAAATAAAATAACACAATAAAATAACACAATTAACGTCGTGAGAATATTATTGTGTTATTTTATTTTATCAATTTATTATTTTATTCTCATTCTACGTGACTTTACCGAAAGAACCAAAGAAGAGTCTCTACTTGTCCGCCATCGTTGTCAACACGTGGCCTGGAATCTTCTCCAAGTGGTCTCCAGAGCCCGGAGGCAGCATCACATTTCTTGTGGTATTGTTGCAAATTCTCGGAAGTGTTAAATTTTTTTTAAAGCACCCTGTATATTGTTCCGATAGTTTATACCTGAGAAAAAGGCATTTCTATAATTACTCAAACGTTGGCTTTGAAACTGCTATTTGGATCTCAAAACCTTTTAAATAACTCAAAATTGCTTAGTTTGGAAAAACGCATTTCATATTACATGGGCTGTGTACATTGCAAATAAATAATAATGTTGAATTATAATTGTTTGTATTAAAAGAGCCATGTAAAATGTGCACTGTATCAATGTATTCGATACTGTATATGTTCGAAGAATTATACATGGTATAACAATAATAACATTTTAGATTTGATGTGCTGCACAATGTTAATTCAACTGCAAACGGCACAATCTTTCTGTACATATATTTTTATGTGATAAGAATTGTGGTTTATTTGAAGCCATGTGAGAATGTTAGGTTACAGCGCTTATATTAATAGTCAAGTTAAATCAAAGTATTGACCTGCTCAAGTAAGCAATGTGTAGTGCTCTCGTTACTACTGGACATCTGTGGGCCAAATTTTGATTTAAAGCTTTCGTGACTGCAGGGATTCATATTCTAGGTTCTTTCGGTAAAGTCACGTAGAAGGGAAACAATAAAGTAATAAAAATATAAAACAATAAAATTATCACGACGTTTCGACTGCAACACAAGCAATCATCATCAGGTGTGAAAACCACAGCAAGAAAATAAAAAAAAATATTGCTGTGGTTTTCACACCTGATGATGATTTCTTGTTTTGCAGTCGAAACGTCGTGAGAATTGTATTGTTTTATATTTTAATTATTTTATTGTTTCCCTTCTACGTGGTGAGTTTACCGAAAGAACCAAGGACATCTGTGGGCCAGTCTGTTTTTCATCAAATGTAAGAGTTCCATGACTGCATTGCACTGGGGCTGTCAACTTGATAAGAAGTGGTGGCCATTTGATTTACCCCAGATGGATGTTACGCTGAGTTAATCGGCATTTCGTGGTTTAGCAGTCCTGTAATAATAATATAAAAAAACAATTGCTGAACTACAAAAAAAACACGTTTAGAAATATGCAAAATTGTGCAAATGTACTTCTGAAACCACTTTAAATACCACAGTTGCACAAGCGATTAAGGTGTAACTCTGAACAATGTGATGTGTTTGTCTTGACAATAATTACACGTTTGTTGGTCAACGTTATTTTCAGTGGCGTCGCTATCCAGTGCTCAGGTGGTGCAAGTGTATCAGGGCCCGTGGGTCAGTGTGTCCTCCATGTGCCGAGCTGTGGAGAGAGGGAGAAATGTAACATGGGGAGGAGGGGGGTTCCATGTTATTAATTGCACCAGGGCCCATGCCAAAGATGTTACACCACTGATTGTTGTTCCTAGACAGTGGCACAGCATCACTAAAAACTTTAATGGCACTATAACTTGACTATATAATGATCTAGCAGCTGTATATAAGCACACCCGTCAGGAGCATACATACATACAGGAGCAAGGCCAGATGATGTGTTTACATCTCAAGTGGTACTTTTTCTTATCAGAAGTTGTCCTTTGACTTCCACCCACCAGCGCGACGTAAGGACGTCTTGCAGCATCTTATCAGAGCTGTACATATACATAATCAGAATATGTATTTATACTGGAGGAATTTTGATGAGCTATAAAGCTCCTTTTCACAGATGTCCAGTAGGGGCGGAGAAGAACGTTACAACAAACAGCGCAAAAACACGTGATAGTAGTGTAAAATACAATAAAGGTGAACAAATCACCAAAACACATCCAAATAAAACACTAAACGACCTCCATCCTACCAGGCAAAAGATCACTGGGGTATTAACTTATATTTCAGAAGCCACCTGGCCACAAACGATAGCTCAACAAAGCGGGCCACAATTTGGACATTTATGGCACGGAAATAGTCTAAATAATCTCAATTGCATATATTTCATCTTTTTTTGCCGCGATGCGTGTTTCCCATGGGCCTGGCAGGCTGCGATGTCTGGTGAAACAGCTGGAGCGTGGAGAGCTGCCCGTCCTGGACCTCCGGAAGAACCTGGAGTATGCCGCCTCAGTGCTGGAGGCTGTGTACATCGACGAGACCAGGTCAGCTCAGGGGGGGGGGGGGGGGGGGGGGCCTCGAGTCGTGGCTCTCTCTGCCCGTGTGCTTGTTTGCATGCACGTGTGACTGCCTAACTACCTGCGTCTGATTAGGATGCCTGTGTCTGTCCCAACTGTTATGCGCTCACCTTGCATGCACGTCTGACCAGATTGCATACGTTTGTCTCATTGCGTACTAGTCTCAGTCTGTCCGTCCGTCCGTTTGTCGTCTGGTCTGTCATTATTATTATTATTACTACTACGACCCTCGTCTCGATATGGATGTCAAGTCTGCCAGGCTGCCATCTGCCTTTAGTGTACTGCCTATTTGTTGCAAATTATCCTTGGAGATATGAACCTTATGGCAGGACTCCGGGGTCCCGAATAAATGGAAGTCAAAAGTCGTAATTGATTTATTTATTTCTGGCGATTCCGTCCCACCGCGCACATGAACGCCGCGACCCACCAGAAATCAATCAAGCACCCGTCATTGCCAAAATTGCCGTAGTCATTAACGAAACGTTGAAACTTTGATTAGCGCTTCGTGTAGAGCTCGTCGAGAGCAACAGATTGCCGCATCGTTCGCCTTCAACAGACGTAAAATGACGTCGCAACGCAGTTTACGCGAGAGCCGGAGGCTTATGGGACCCCGTGGTCCCACCATGAGGTTCTTGTGCCCTCGGGTCCAGAAGGGGACCCCTCCCCTTAGTTCGTTATCTGGTAGTGATATCATAACACACAAAACCCTACTGCTCAGGACACCGTCCAACGTTTTTAGCGGCACAAACGAAAAATTGGAAGACACCGTTAACATTTCCCAAAACTGCCCAGGAGGGACATGATTTAGATGGGAAATTATATCTCTTGCCCCCCTTATTGAGAATTTTGTCAGCTTAGCTGAATGGGGGAAACCCTTCTGTCTGCCTAGGTGCCGAGATAACCAATGGCCTTAACGCAAGCAGCACAGCTCTCGGCATGACACTCCCTCAGATTAGCCATCCAGTGTGGGGGACAATTTAATGTGCATTGCATTCATTTACTTCATAAAGACGCACGCTCATGCCTTATAGGACAATGATTCACTTTCATTTCTTGCAAGCTTTACGTGCCATGGACAGTGTGTGAAATGTAATCATCTGTTCGGCGGCCTTAACCTGTTTCCCCCATTCTCCGAACGCCTTGGGGGTAAGCAAGAATACTTTTAAGGTTGATGTGCTTGTTTTAATAAGTGGGATTGCCAGTTCGTTCTTAGCATTAAAGATGTTCGGACGATGTTAAGTGTAGTGCTAGGACAAAGGGTTAGGTTCCAGGTTAATTAAGTGTTCGTGTGCATTAAAATCAAGACGCTGTATTGCATTCATGCGATAGCACCAAGCATGTTCTTTAAGGTCAATTGTTATTTCTCACCATCAATAGGTGAGAACTATTTTTGGTTGACAGTGCTATCTCCTCTGTGCATTACTAATGCTCTACGGCAGTTGGAGTACAGTAAATTAAGTCCGCTGCCTGCACCTGTACTCGATTAGACACACTTTCAGTGTGCTTTGCAGAGGCAAATGACACGGAGAGTTTTTGCCTGCTCAAATTGCACACCGCAATGAATGCGTTTCCATATCAAAGCGTTGATACATCAACTCCGAGCTCCCTACAATTAAATTGCGCAATACGATGCAAGAATTAGATCATTACCCAAAGCTCCAATTTTCAGTTCTTACCCACTGTATTGGCATGTGTGATATGTATATATTTAAAGAGTTTTAACCAAAATGTTGTTCGTTTTTATTATAAGATCTTGTTCACAGTCAATGTGACTCATTTCTTATGCGTTGATTTTTTTTTCATTTCAATATATGGGTGGTGCTGTTAGTTGGACACTGCACTCAGAAATCAGGAGCCAAAAACACACACCGCAGTTATAGTAATAGGTTTTACCCTTTTAGCTGGCACAAAAAAACTGACACCTTTATACAAGGGATCATGTTTGCAATAACCACAACACAAGCAGTCAAAAATGCAAACAAAAAAATGCAAATTCAAGGACAGTGCATATTATTATCAGAGTTGTCTCTTTTTGTTTGCATTTTTGACTGCTTGTGTTGTGGTTATTGCAAACATGATCCCTTGTATAAAGGTGTCAGCTTTTTTGTGCCAGCTAAAAGGGTAAAACCTATTACTATAACTTGCTACTGGCAAAGGAGGTCTCATAATGTAAAAACACACAGAAGTTGTCATTGACACTGCTGCATAGCAGATAAATATATAGTAAACTAACGTTTTAAACAATTACTCCTAACATACTACCTTTGCATTTGTCTCGCCATTGGTGGAATTCACGAGTTAAATTCTTGGTCAGGAATTGACCCAACGCTTCATCCCTCCAGTGTCAATAAAGCAGATACCACTTTGTGGGAGGTTAGCATAAGTTATTTTATTGAGACTTGCCCCAGTCACAGGAATGTGTAATTTCCCACAGGAATGAGTGCCACCCCAATGCACGTCCATTTGAGAATGGATATTTTTTTAGTTTGTAATCGGTGAAATTTATAATTGTTAATTTCCCCCCAAAAGCTATTAAAAAGTATTTTGAGACAATCATTATTATAGTAATTATTATTCTAACAACATTTGTATGTGTATGGGTAGAGTGGTGGTAAAGTGGTTAGCGTACTGCGCTGTGAACCTGGTCACCCGAGTTCAATTCCCAACCACGGATAACACCGGTAGCAAGTCCCGCAAAATCTGATCCTGTCCACCCCCTTTCAAAAACGCACAATGACCAACTTGGTGAAGAATGGTTAAAAAGGAAACCCCTGACCCGCATGACATAGAGAGGCCATCATCCATTTGTCAATTGAGAATGGTTGAAATCTATTTCAAATACAAATAATATGGCGGGATGTTACCTATCCCGCCTGGTATACGGGAGGTTGTGGGTCCGATCCCGACCCTGACACCTGCTATATATTTGGAGTTTGCGTGTTCTCCCCGTGGTCGCGTGAATTTTTCTCCGGGTCCCCCAGTTTTTCCCATCGCATTTAGAAACATGAATTCTTCGTATTTGGCTGCTAAAACGAATTGCACATGATAAGCCACATTTTTGAGCTTTCATTTGTGGCCAGGTTGCTTCTAAAAAAAAATAGCTATATAGCTCAGTAAGCCTTACCTGGTAAAATAACAAAAACATCGTTCCGTTTCATAGTTTAGTATACGGTACACGATGAAACAAAAGTGCTATTCACGCAGAAATCATAACGCTTGTTCACAGTTAAAAACCCTCGCTCCACAGCAAGTGCCGATGCCTGTCAGAAGACGGTGAGCGCCACGATTCATCTGCTGCCCTTGCTGCTGTGCCCACAGGCGCCTGCTGGACACGGAGGACGAGCTGAGCGACCTGCGCTCGGACACAGTGCCTTCAGAGGTGCGCGACTGGCTGGCCTCCACCTTCACGCGCCAGATGGGCCTCATGCTGAAGCGCTCCGAGGAGAAGCCACGCTTCCGCAGCATCGTGCACGCGGTGCAGGCCGGCATCTTCGTTGAGAGGTTTGTGGCGCCCACCGCACCTCCCCCCCCCCTTTCTCATCCCGATCCGTCGAGGTCCGGCCCCTGCATCGGTGCGGCTTCGTCTGCTCTTGTTGCGTTGTCCCCTCCCGTGGGACCGGTGCTGATGTGTGCCGAGATAAATGCTGTCTCTCGAGTGGCTCAAGCCTCCAATGCACCGTTTCATACCGAAGCCTCTTTAAATATACATCACGCTGAAAGCGGAGGGTGTTATCGCTCGTTACACTTGCACACAAATGTCCCCTGTTCTTTTTTGCGCATACACACCGCACTTACTTAGATCCCCTGTACAATATTGCCTTTTCAAGACCGTTTGGGCCAAACGCTGTTCGCGAGCGCCTGTTGAGGCCTGAACAGGCTCCACGAGGTGGTTGTGTTGCCAGCACAGTACTCAATCACCGTTGCATTCCCATTGATGATGTTATAACAACAACACCTGCCGTTCACCTCCAAGTGCCGGTGACATCACCACAGTGCCTGTGGCAGGCTAGGTGCCCTGTGAGGCCATGTGAAGTTGTGAAGGCTGGCTGGTAGGAGGTCACGGGACAGACCCAGGTGCCATGGGTTGACTGACTGACATGACCGGCAGATGCAGCAGCTGTGCCGCCCACTGTGCCAACTTTCTCCATTTTAGCCGCCCGGCGCACCGCTCATTGTTGTGAGCATCGCTCCTCCGCCCTCCGTTGTTGTTGGAGGGCGATTGCATCCAACTGCCCAGTAACAGCGTCCTCCATACTGATGTTACACACATACACTCACACACCACAAGGATAACTATGCATTATAAATATATATAATTTACTCTTTTAGATCATTGCGTACTTTACAGTAGGCTGCATAAACATTGACAAAAAAACGTGCCAAAGGCACAACGTTTATCATTAACACTGCCCTCTACACGTAATGGAAATTATATTGTAGCTCACATTTTGGCGCAAAGGCTGTCTCTGTTCATTGTCCAAAAAGTCAACCTACTATATATGTTTCAATTTTAAGACACTGTTAATAATGAACATGGTGAATGTTTTTTGTCGTTTAACCTTGAATGTGCTTTGCTAAAGTCATCTGCACCGCAGTACTGCCGATTTTCTGCATTGCTGCTTAGAGTTTCATGTCCCTGCTTCATACAAATGGTACAGGTCAGTTACCGTGGGGGCAATGATGCATTTACAAGCCCAGCATGAAATGAGACTTCCAATTTCAACACCCGGGTCTTGTGAATGTCCTCCCTATGCAGGTGCAAGTGTGGGATTTTTAATTTGCAGTTGTCATATACTTGGGATGTACTCTGCCCTTGCGAGGGCGACATAGCTATAATGTCACATGCACACGTATTGATTACGTAATGTTTTTCAGTGACAATGGAAAAAACCTTATTGATTAAAAACTATTGGGTTTTCAAAATTATTCATCGTGGCCAATACACCATGTTTAATTAGAACTAAAACAATAGCAGGCCCTTTAAAAATAAACATATATCACATTCAGTCACCCAAAAAGGTAGTACTGCCGTTTAAGAAAGCCAATTTGAGATAAGTTAAGTGATAATAATCCATGGAACTTAAATACATTCTTATGCTTGGATTTGATTCCCCCCCCCACCAACATCGGATCAGTAAAACCACAATATCCTTAGACTGAGAGAGAAAACATCATCAAATATCCGCTTGAGTCTCGTTCAGCAAAGGTCTTTCACTTAAATCCATATTTTATTTAGATCAGACCTGATTAATTGCTGTGTTGTGTAAGAGAGATTATGATTCATCATCCTTAAGTGGCCCTCATTGCAATATAAAACAAGCTGTATGCATCATAATAAACATATTTTTTTATTTTTTATGTTGACTTTCCAAGGGATAAACACTTGCTAAACATAGATTTTGACATATTGTGATTCCAGATTAAAATACATAACTTGATGTCGTTAAACTTGACTTTGCTTGTGAAAATTTATTTTCAATAAGTTGCAATGCTTGAACAGATGATGTATTTAATTGGTTTGTCTGAAGGCGTTTAATCATGTTGTTATTGATTTAAGTGTCAAGTTGTTCAATGTTCACAGTATTTCTCCAAGGAACAAACTATATCTTGCGGCATCTGTGCAGACATTTGTTGGTTAAAGTAGCAGTAATGTTGAGCAAATTAAATTGCTGTTGGCAGTTTTATTTGATAGTTCCTTAAAAAAATGTACATCCAAACTTTTCAAGGATTGAGGGAATTCCAGGCAAAAGTTGCGCTTTTGAGAAAGTATGTGTTTTAACTGTGTTTAATTCATACAGACAATGTCACAGATAATTCTATTCTTAGCCGCAAATGTAAAATTTTACATTACAAAAACATTTTTTTAATGACATGTTCTGGACTCCTATCTATTCTGGACGTGTATGTCAATTTCTTTCATTACCAAATGCACTTCAACATACCATGCATGTGTTTGGGGGGGGGCAGGCGGAGAATAAATTGAAGAATAATAATTATGAAACAATTAAAACAATGTTTAAAGATGCCATCTGTCATGCACGTGTATTTCATCAACACAATTTCTAAGCGCCGGCACACCCATTGATTTGCTCACATTATCGCAATGAGCAGCCTCAGCTGCATGTCATATATCAGCAACCAGGCGCACAGAGAGCCCTGTGCTGCTCACCCCACCAAGAGAGAATCGATGGCGAGGCTGATTGACAGTCGCCAATGCCGTCAACCCCAGGTGTGCAGGGCCATCCCGTCTCCTACCCACCTCCGCCAAGGCCACCCACCCCCCCCCCCAAAAACGATGCGTGCTGCACTGCGGTGGTCGATGATCTAAGGGCTTAATTTCATCTCCCTTTGTGACACTTTTTGGGCCATGGAGAGTTGCTTGAGACCCCCTTAAGATTCAAATACTGTGATGATTAAGTGAGGCCCATCTGTGTACCACGCGACTCATGGTCCTGTAACAGCGCTGTAACTAACAGGGGGCTGGTGAGAAGGGGGAAACTCGAGGGATGCGAGACCTTGCTGCTGGTAATCGTCTTATTGGGGGAAGGGGACACTTGAAGGAGGTGCACTGTAGCTGCACGGGCTGTTTGCTTGCAAGCTATTGGCTGCATCGCCCGTGGGGTGAGAGTGCTCTTGTATGATATTTGTTTACAATGCACGAGCAGACCACTGTTGTTTTATTTGCTTACCCCTGTTCCGAAAAAAAATGCTGCTTATATAGCCAGTTTTATCGGTCTCCACAAATCTTGGATTTGTCAGAGAGAAAAAAAACACTCGTGCTTTTGTAAAGAGTACTGGAGTTGATTACGACTAGCCTGGCTGGAGGGGTACATGTTGTTTGGTGCACTGATGCTGTTGTCGTACAGAACATGTATTTATACAGACATTTACATCGTTAAAATGTATATTTTCTGTGAGAATATTTAGTTTATGTATATAATATGCTCAAGCGTATGTTTCGTTATTGTTTTAGGTGATACATTTTATTTCGTTTGACTTTGACAATATTTTCTGATTGCTTTTCCATATGAGAATTAAAATATAGAGGGTAGATATGTATCTTGTCATTTAGGATTTAGTTCGTGCTTTAAAAACATTAACTCAATCCTCAAGGGAGTGGTAATACATGCCCCAAATTCTTGGCAAAGATATGTAAAGCTTTTTTCTTTAACTCAATTTTAAAACACTTAAAGCAATGGGACAGCGAGCCCGTTGCCCATCTATCCCCTGATTTCCATAACCGGTTTGGCTTATGTTGACGGTGTTTATTTGCGTCACAACGTAATGTAACAGGCCCGCAGATTGCCTCAATAAAATTAAATATAAAAAAACACTTAAAGCAGAAAGGCAAAATACAGTATGGAAATTATGTCTGCATTGTGCCCAGAATGGTTGTTACTGGACCAAAGTTGCGGCAATTTAAATTTTATGGGTAAAAAAACACATGACCATGGTGAAATAGAATGTTTTCACAAAGTTCAAATTATTTAAGCATATTCTGTTTATTAGCTGGGGAAAAGTAAAACCACGCTCGTATATCTTGACAATAAAACATTTTACAACTGCACTTGTATCCAATAACATATGAGTCTTGCCTAGATAATTCCAACATGTTGGATGTCTTGTCCTGCTCTTGCCGTGCTGTAGAATGTACAGACGAACATCCAGCATGGTGGGACTCAGCTATCCTCCAGCAGTCATCTCTGTCCTGAAGGTGAGAGCTACAATTCGCCGTAAAAAAAAAAAATCACTCCCAAGATCTCCTCTTCCCAATGCCATTTTCTTTAGTTTGGCGAAAACAACCGGACAGGTCAAAGTATTTTATTTGCAATCGACATTTAGGAACCTTTAAACTAAAATATGCGGTACACCTATGACCATATTACCATCATGTGCCTGATCGCATCAGAAACTAAGTGGGTTTCAGCCTGGATCGTACTCGGATGGGTGACCACCATGCGCACAAGAGAGGTGTAATCGGCATTGTGGACGGCAGAGGGCAGGACAGCGAAATCCCATCGTCGCTGTTCACTCCTTTGACCTTCACCAACCTGCATGCTCGCCAGCGTGGTGAAGTATGGCCAAATATCCCTGATGCCCCGGGCAAGGTGTGGGGGGGGGAGGCAGGAATTGACAACATGCGCCGTACATCGACGTGATACAATATGTGAACCACGACATTGACAGACAATCAATGGCCCATGGTGCCACAGGATCCTTTAAACATAATTAAGGCCAAACGACACGCGTTCAAATTTCTCGCAAAACAGAGTGCCAATTTGAACAATAAAGTCAACGCAGACTATCTCGGTGTTAGGGTTAGAACCTGGTAACCTTTTTGGCTATGCAGCCACTGAGTAATATCTCTGTGTGTGATTATTTTGTTCTAAAGTTTCACAAGGAAATTGTATATCCACTTATGTAAACGTGTTTCTATGTTGTTCTGCTGAACTTAAGTTTTCCCTGCAAGCAATGTGATATATGTATATTATTGGTTCTTTCGGTAAAGTCATGCAGAAGGGAAACAATAAAATAATACAAACATAAAACAATATTATTTTATTGTTTCCCTTCTATGTGACTTTACTGAAAGAACCAAGAATATGAATCCCTGCAGTCACGAAAGCTTTAAATCGTGATATATGTAGTTAATCATGTATCCTCTGTATATCCTTTTTTCCTATTTATACTCCATTTCCTCAATTTATTGTCAATTCATCACTCTGTCAGTCGTAAATGTTGTGTTTTTTTCTAAGTACTTGAAATTCACATTTGTACGTAAGTTGTTCTGACACCACCAGTGAGATGAGAAGGAAAGGAGAGAACTTCATACACATGAAGAGTGGCAACGTTTTCTACAATAGAGGGAGAAATTACACTCATTATGGTGGAAGTGGATTCTTAGTGTCTCCTTGCATCAGATGTGAGAGCTTTAGGGTTCAAAATTTAATTGGATGGAGTTGCTCAGCTTACACTAATCCTCCTGAATCACTAAAAGATAAAGATCAATCAAATATAGGAACAAACAATAAGCATCGATGATGAAGGAGAGCAAATGTACGATAGCACTGTTCGTTTTTGGCAGAATATACAAAAGAAAGCATAACCTGACTTCGGTTATTTAATTGACGTGTCATTGTGTGTTGTTATCGTTCATTAATTGTCTGTTAAAATAGGAGAATGCCGTCTCTTGAAAACCATCACACCACAGTTGGTTGGCCTTGTGTCTTTCGGAACTTTGGTATAAGACATTAATGAAAGTATGTATGTATATATATACGTCCCATTACTCACTGAATAGGTAGAAAATAACAGGATGGGTATATTTCAGTTGTCAATGTAACTGTACCGAGTTGTGTTTGTGGTGACAGTGTTGCCTGAGATGTCATTGAGCTTCACACATAGAGGAGATATTTTTTTTTAATTACTGAGGGATTAGGCTGGAACCTGAATTAATTATTATAATTTTTTTGCTTGAGTGTCAAGTATAATGGCCTGTATAATGAATATGCAAACATCTTTTATACCAAGAAATAATGTAGTTTAAATTTGTTTCCTAGCATAAGCATGTGAGGTCCTGGCATAGATTCCACTGTTTATTGTCATGAGAATGATGTGTATGTCGATCCCGTACCAGGTTATAATTTGTGTGCGTGAAAAATGTGCAATGGTTGTAATTATATTAGTCAAAGTGCACAGTTGCACTGACAAAACTTATTATTGGAGCACATGACTTAATAATAACAACTTCATGTTTTGAATTTATTTCTGATAATATACATTAACTTCAATTGAGCTATCAAAGCAAAAAAAGATGACACATTGATAAATAAGCGATTATCTATTACATTTAATAATCAGCTGCTGTTCATCCACCATTGGATGACAGCCTCCCCACACCGTGCCCATTCTTACCTGGTCCTGTGATGCCAGAAATCCAAACGACCAGTCAATAAATGTTACAGTAGCTAAAAACAACCCTTACCGCAGGTGGTTGCTAAATAACAACATTCACATTCTATTCTTGGTTCTTTCGGTAAAGTCACGTAGAAGGGAAACAATGAAATAATAAAAATGTAAAACAATAAAATTCTCACAACATTAACAGTTTAAAGAATGCATCCGTCATTGGGATCACTGTGTAAGGATGCGTTGTGTGCCATGTGTTTTATTTCCCAGGAAGTCGACAAGTGGTCCTTTGATGTATTTGCACTGCACGAGGCCAGTGGTGAGCACGCCCTCAAGTTCATTGTGTACGAGCTCTTCACCAGATATGACCTAATAGCACGATTTAAGGTGAGCCAATTCTTAAACGAAACTATATATTTTTTTTAACCATGTAAGGCCCACTGAGCTATATATCTCTTTTTCAGAAGCGACCTGGTTTATCGAAGTGGCTTATTGGGTGTAAATGTATGGCATACAAATAATATAAACGTATGTTGATTCTAAATGTGGAGGGAAAAACCGGAGGACTCGGAGAAAAATCCACAACCACAGGGAGAACATGCAAACTCCAAATATACAGGCGTCAGGGTCTAGATGGAACCCACCACCTCCTCTATACCAGGTGAGGTAGGTAACATCTCGCCACCGTGGCACCCCCAAATTCCAACCAGACCTGCCAGTGATGTCTGAATGAACACCATTAAAGCTGTCCCTTCATTACAATCACTGGCACAGGTGTATATAGAAGTAACCATATTTTCATTTTAGATCCTATCGGTCTCTTTGTAAATGCCTCGAAGGCAATGCTGCTACACTTATTCGGAAATAAGGCCTATATTTTACATGGGAGCGGTGCAAATAGTAAGAGTAAATGTTTCCCAGACAGGGATGAGGCATAATGAACACGCCAGTGGGGGAACATCGCTTGAAGCCATACACGTCGCAGGGGGAAATGACAACAGTGAGTGATGGTGCTATTCGCAGTGGCATGACGTGTCACGCTATGCCGAAGCGAGCGGTAACATTTCTCCAAAGGACATCTGAGCCCAGAACATGAATTAAGGACCATATTGATTAATTCATATTCCGGGACTGAGTGATAAGCCTTGAGACAATTAATGCCTGGCAGCTTTAGGTTGCGGTAATATGCTCCTCATCTGTATGAATTGCATATAATGGCAACATTGCATGATGTATGAAATGTGTCATTTTCAGGGTGGCTCTTATATTTCAAAATACGGTTTACGATTGCGATTGTCTCTTGTTGTTGAATTATGCATGACCTTTAAATTGTAGCCCAATTGAAGGATGTGTAGGAGTCGCTACCATGGTATTTATTTTAAATATGGACCACCCTAACGTTTTTATGTTGAACTCCTTTCACACCGTCCGTAGCCAACTGTGCTAATGGGAGGTGCGGAATGTGTATGGAATGTAACTGTTTCACAGATCCCTGTGTCGTCTGTGGTGTCATTTGTGGAAGCTCTGGAGGCTGGATACAGCAAGCACAAGAACCCCTACCACAATTCGGTCCACGCAGCTGACGTCACCCAGACTGTGCACTACCTGATGCTCAAAACGGGCACAATAGTAAGTGTGTTACCCTCGATCATTTACAATTACACACTCGTCTGATGTGCTGTGAATGTTAGGGCAACTGCTTTTGTGTTGTAAATACTCAACAATAGACGTCTGTGCTCACATCTTCACCAAAACCGCACTGACCAGCGTGGTGATGTGTGGTCAAATAACACCCACAACACGCACGGCATGAGGAACCCCCCTTTCAGCAGTGGATTGGCAGAGGGCTTTACATGTACATGCAGTACTCATGCACGTATCATGTATGTTTATGTCAACACAACACAGTACATACAAAACATGAGCAAAAATGTGAGTAGTCTATGATGATTTGGCTTGTGAACAATGACAACTCGTCATGCCACACAATGATAATTGGTTCTCCTTGAAAAATAAACATCAGGATGCACGTCTTTTTTCAAAAATGTAAACCCTGACATCGACGAATAGAATACAGTTCACCTAGTAAACATACATATCATGTTAAAGATTAGAATTGCTCTGCATAGATATTTGTGTGAAATTTGATTTGTAAAACGGCCCAATTATTTATTTATATACGTTCACCCTCGATAATGTGCACTCCCATCAGGCTGTTTGCTCACTTTGCATAACCAAATGCATGCGGATCACGTGCAAATGCTGTTGTAAGCCTTTCCGTAATGCCCGACCGACGCCAGTGTTCACTCTGTCATTAACACTGGCTTGAAAAAGAATCAGGTGGCAGAGCTACTGTGCTATTGGTGGAAATTTCAAAAGGGGGAAGAAAAAAATGGCTTTAGTGCGGTGTAATTAAAAAGCCTGCAGTCCATTACAATACCATAGCCCTGAAGGAAGTGTAGGGAAATTATAAATGCATTTTTCGCGTGCCATTGAAATTTACCTACAGCACGGAACCATTACGAGATTCACAGTGCCTGTCTTTTTTGTGCCGGGCTGCAAGGGCTTTATGTGAACCATACATTTTTGTTGGAGCAGCAGTGGTGGCTGGGAAGTGGTGTATTGCTTGCTGTGTTGCATTTTGTGGCTTGAAATAGGCAGCTGGGTCTCATTGGTTTAAAGCTATGGGGAGTAGGTAGTTGCATCAGGACAAATTATACTGCTCCTTATTAGCACATTCGCTGGGTCAGAAAGAGATACAATTTAGGTGCACCAGAAGAAAATGAAAATTGTGTGTGCTATATTCATATTAATGAAGCAAGCGTTTTCATTTAAATTAAGCATTTCATCCTAAACCCCCAAGGCTTCAGAAGTGGCCAGGTGGCTCAGAGGTCAAAGGGCTGAGCTGGGACTGCTGAGTTTGAATCAGGGCAGCAGCCTGTGATTATCAGTGGGATCTTAAGTGATGGGATTTGATGTCTCAGTTGCCAATGACTGCTCAAACTAACCATAATATTACATTTGGTTTGATTTGCCTACATTCCAGCCATGACAATCTCTTAGAAGAGTGTATGGGAAAGTGTGCCCCCTACTGTGCAAGGGATAAACATTGATTTTTTAATAATGTTTCAGACGTGTATTGTTTGACACCTGGGGCACAATGCAATTCAACCTACACACTTCAGAACTGTTTTTCAAAAATATTGTAATGCAATAGTATTGCTACGGCACAGTTTTTGTTTAGAGAAAATGTCGATTGCATATATGTTATCATAAGGCCACATAGCACTTGGTTAGTGACAGGATGACATGTTTATCTCACTTAAAAAGCTTTTAACAAGCATACAATTTGAAATTGTCATATATATGCGCTGCCAATTTAAGTAACATTTGAGAGCACAAGTATAATTTGCCGACACGTTATTTCAGTGCCTAGCAAGTGACATTTTTAAGCATGAAAGTCAGGCCTGGCACGGAATTCATAATGTATGCTACAGGGCATATGGTACACCATTAATAGTGTTTTAATATATGTCATATGCCAGCCACAAATTCTGATTGATGTTGCGTGTAAATAAATTTAAGCTCTTCCAACTGCTGTGACCAGTGTCCTCATCATCTCCCCATTAGTAGAAGAGTTTAACAAATTAGCCCGCTGCTGTTGGACATACGTTACGTCATCAAATGCAGCGGGGCTCTATAATGAAGACAAATAGGTTCATTGCAGATTTTTTTTGCAGCAATGGTCATATCTTAAATACTTCTCATCAGCAGCAGGGTTTATTGTCAAAATAATTTAAATTAAAAAGAACCAATGACCGACCATTTCCAACAACAAACGAAAAGGATTCATTGCTATGTAATGAACGTATTACTGTGCACGGAAGCCACATTGATAGAACACGCACGCTGTGCGGCATTGCTGCATCTCGTTAATGGAAAACACAGTCTGATCTCCTATAACACGTGTTTTCATAACGTGAATTTTATATAACACGATGAATGTAGTAGGGAACACATTTTTATAACGCGGATGCGAATTGGATATAATTCGGCCGAGTGAACAGAGCTACGTCGCGCGAGTAGGATTAAGTGGTTGTACGGTTGCCTCGGCGTAACATCGCACCTAGGTGGGATGCTGCTGGATGTTTCTAGATGCTACCCACGCACGTCAGTCGTTTGTTCAGCCTGCACACGCTTCTCACGTGTTCGTGCGGACTGTGCTTTGCCCTCTATTGTATATTATTTTATTATAACGTGATTTTTCCAGAACGCGGTGTTTTTCAGGAACTCGACTACCGTGTTATAGAACAGACTGCACGCTTGTATTGTAAATATTTTCACGGATGATTTGTGCCATCGTTGTGTCACGTTGCTTCTCCAGTCGTGAATTGATCTTCTACCAGTGGCAGTAATAAGAAGCCCTCGCAGCCTTAATCTGACACATTAATCTCCTGAAACATCCAATTAAGGCGCCTGCAAAGTGGTTATCTGCTACCCAGGCCTCCTCTGACGAGGCGTGATTTACGTTATGCGTTGCAGATCGTAGATCATCGCCTTTGCCCGTCCCTATGCAGTAATGTGCGTTTAATTGATAAGTGCTTATGTACACTGCGTGGATATTTTGGGATGTCAGTTTTGCAGGACTTCGTCCTACTGGTGTGCCGTTTAAACCTCAGAGATGACACAAAACGAGATGGATTTTAACAGTGGCACGAGCAACCTCTGTGGTTCCTGTCTTGGATTATTTTGTAGGGAAACCACCCAGGAGCTTAGAGGATATCAGAGAGGACTAAACTCCCCACCCCACCTTACAATGAGATGCCCTTTTGTTCAGAACTAAATTTAAGATGAAAAGTTATATACAGTGTCTGTATTTCTAAACAACACCACAGAACATACTTTTGAGTTGCAGACTTGTAGTTGCGGTATCAGTAGTCATCCTCTTCTACTCCATCATTCATCTCAAACTACAATCAAATCTTGACTTAAGGCTTTCGTGACTGCAGAAATTCATATTCTCTGGGTCTTTCGGTAAGGCCCATAAACTACAACGTTCCGGTCGCAACACAAGCGGTCGTCATCAGGACGTCATCAGGACGACCGCTTTGTGTTGTGATGTGTTGCGATCGAAACGTCGTAGTTTTTTTTGTTATTTTCTTTGAACCTATCTACGTGACTTTACCGAAAGACCAAACGAATACAATCACCCACTTGTAGTGTTGTGTCCTGCTCAACACACACTTTCTGTTTTTTTTTTTTAACAGTCAACATGATTTCTCTAAACTCGTGAATGTTCCATGATGCATGTGTTCCTCTTGCTGTATCTCAATGTGATTCTAAACGCGCGTTTCTCCACGTTTCTCCGCGCATCTTTCAGCTTTTGTTTAATTTTGCATGTCAACGTCCTTGCTTCTGACCCACGTGTCATAACAGGTGATAAACACGTATTTTTACCGTATTGTTGAGACACATTCGTATGTTTTGTTTTCACCATTAAGGTCAGTTTTCCAAAAGTACTCAAACCCGCACCACAATCTGATTCGTGATATTTATAAATATTGAAAACCCTTTCAAAAATTGGAACACTGACACTGACACCGAGGAAGGAAACATTTGACATCAGAAGGGGAATTAGACACGGAGATACACCTTTAACAAAGTTATTTATGGAGACAACACGATTTAAAAACAATGGATTGGAGAAATAAAGTCATAAACTTAAAGGGAAATAAATTAACCTGTGCTATTTGCTGATGACGTAAATGTTATGAAAAGCAATGGAAATGAATTACAGGATAATATAGAAGAACTTAATAAATAATGCTGCAAAGTGGGGCTCAGGCTAAATCTGGTTAAAACAAAACCATTGGAGATATCTGTTGGGAGGGAAACAATTGGAAAACACGGCAGTTTTTGAAAGCAGACGAGTATCAACAATGAATACATTGCCATAATTTTTGCAAATGAAATCTACCTCAATGAATTCCCTCAAGAATGTTTTAAAACAGGGGCTCTGTGAGAGGTGCTAGTTAAACATGGCATGAAGTAAAACAAGGCTAATTTTCATCTGCTACCGAATTATACTGTTTAATTGCTATTTGGACTGATTTTAAATGTGGATTTCTATAATTTGTAACCAAATTAAGGTTGACCTTATTTTTTTTCATATTTATAATTACCTTTGTTTGGGTTGGGGAATAGGTCTTAAGCTACGTAATATGTATGTAAGTACCAGAAAAGCAAACAAAGTGATTTGTTTATTTGCTGGATGAGCTCAATGGAAGGTAATAAACACATTTTAAATGAACATTATTTGTTTTATATATAATATAGCACTATAATATTCCAACTTTTTCAAATGTTGTGCTATGTTATTCCTGTTCCAATCACTGTGTGCGTGTTTGCCCAAGGCATGCTACATGTTAAGGCTGCACACTGACATCGCTCAACTGCAATGCAAACGTGCTAACGAAGGCAGCGTACGACATGCAACATCTTTAATGATTTGTGCACTGAGCCACCCTCGGGAGAGTTCATCATGATGATGATGATGTATATATACACTCTCCTGGCTAGGTAACCGCTTATTCTGAATGATTGTAGTCTTTGTGTTTATCTTGTTTATAACCACATTGGACGATGAGATAGATTATTGGTACATTTTTTTGTGTCCCCTATGTAAATGTGTAGAAAATTAGAAGATGTCACAATAGCCGCTAGTTCATTGCACCTGGCAAACATTCATTCTTGACCCGTGATTCAATGTTTTACACACAGTTAAAAAAGATATGCGATCGACAATGGGGTTCCGCTAAACATTAAGTGCCTCTATTAATCTGGCTTGCAATCACGTAGGCACATTATAACAATTGTTACATATAATAAGATAAAAATCTACTTAGTACAATACCTCCAACTGAAACGCATCATCTGTAAAAACTTGTTTTTACATTAATTTATAAATAAATAAAATAGTTTCCCAAATGTATAGAAGATTATGGTTTTCAGTTGTATTGCCATCTGAAAAGTAAAATTGCATTAAAAAAACAACGGCGGTTAATGTGAACCATATATAGACGTAGACGTACAGAGACGTGGTACACTTTGAGCAGTTAGTGTGCATATTTGCATCATTAGGTGAAAGTTATTGGTCACAGAGAATAAAAAAATGGGGTTGATTGCATGCAATGCCTTCTCTCACCCTAGGTGGCAAGGTAATTAGAATTTTTAATTGTCAATATGTATGGTAGATTACTGATTGGAAGCTGGCCTTGTATAATAAAGAGGCATCAATTTTGTTATAATAGCCTTCGGGCAAAAACAGAAAACTACAATGTGAAATATATGTTCACTGATGAAAATGGATGTGCTTTTGGTAATTAAAAATATTATATATTTAGTGTTTTATAAAATAACAAAAGTATGATGGAGTGAGTGATACTTTTTTTTAGATAGAATAAATAACAATGGTTTAACCTACAAAAACCTTGAAAATGGTAGAGAATAATTATATATAGGAAATAAACAGGAAATAAATCAACAGTCTGACTCAGCAGCAGATCATGCTTTCCCACCTGATGACGGACGCTTGTGTTGCGCCCGAAATGTCGTGATTTATTTTATTTTATACCTACGTGACTTTACCGAAATAACCAAAGAGTATAGGAAATAAATAATCAGAAACATACAGTTTGATACAAACTTGCGCTGGCATTTGGCACATTTCCCAATCTCTTGACGTGATTATTGGAACTAATTGAATTACAAGACCATAAAGGGAAATATGCTCAGCTCTCTCGACCACAGATGGTAGCTCGCACACGCACATCTAGGTACACAAACTGGTACTGAGTGGCACACATTTCTTTCCATATTTCTACGGCAAGGGCCCAGTCTTTTACAGAGGCCAACCACCGTTGACGGTCCCACAAATTAGTGCAAATTTTAACTGCACTGGGAGAGACGAGTCATCCCCTCCAAGCCACACACTCTACCACTGCACTACCAGCTGGATGACTTTGTGACAGTTGCAACATTCAAATATTAGCATGCAACTACGTTTTTTTTAATGTGTTTTTATCTAGATTACGCAAAGCAATTGATTGCTTGTCTCTTGAAATCAGTCGAACCATACGTTGTCTGCTGACCTGTATATGTCGCGTAATCGTAACATTCTGCATGGACAAGTGAGCAAAATACTCACTTATGTATGATTTGGGAAAGTAATGTACGAACTGTTTCGTCCTTGAGTGTCGACCAATTACTAAGAATCATCATCCTTGTTGGCATTGAGCCCTCCCTCTGGGTTGTTCCTGAAAATGTACCGCGAGGACTGATGAGATAGCCAAAATAATGCTGGATCTTACCATGTGTGTAATTTAGAAGACATCATCTCAAATCCGATTACATGGACATAATCCGCAGCACAGTGTGGGCAGTTGACAGAGGTAAACATGTTGATTTTATAAATAAAACTCCCAAAATTAGTCAAACAGTTTGATGTTGTATTTATCAATCTGTATTATTATAATTGTATTTCTAAATCCATATTCTTATATCGGGATATGTTATCTGGAAAATGAGGTAGAGATGGCTATGGCACATGTAGGACGGAGGAACTCCGGGTACTGGACACCCAGAGGTCCAAGACCAAGGAGAAGAATTAAAGACAGATGGTAGGATATGGTGAGGGCAAACTTGGGAGATTGGATGTCAACTTTGCAAAAGCTTAGGGACCTAGCAGATGGAATGCGGTGATGGCAAGGTGTGTATTACGTAAACAGCATTGGCGTCCCTTGCCTTTTGACACTGTTTCTTCGTTTGCCTCCACAGCATTGGTTAAATGAGCTGGAGATCTTGTCTATGATCTTTGCCGCTGCAATCCATGACTACGAGCACACGGGCACCACGAACAACTTCCACATCCAGACACGGTACGCACCAAGAGCAAACAGGGCAGCAGCACGAGACTCCTGTGCAGCATGGTACGGTGCCTCCTCCTGCAGCGCTGGAAGGGTCACGTCTCTAAAAGAAGGCTCATTGGAACAACACGGGGTGCTGCAGTGGCGAGATGTTAACTACCTTGTCTGTTATACAGGAGTGCGTGGGTTAGATCTTTTACACTGACGCCTGCTGTTAATTTGGAGTTTGCATGTTCTTCCTGTGGCTGCGTGGATTTTTATCTGGGTCCTTCGGTTTTTTCCCTCCACATTTATAAAAGTGCGTTTAGAGTATTTTGGCTGCAATACGTTACAACATGACAAGCCACTTCTGCTTTTTGTGTTCAAATGTATTGGCCTTCCCCCGCACCTCCGAATAACGCGGTTGGCTACTTATAGTGTGAACTAACTTCTACATACATATATATTTCCGTGGGCTATAATTTGTGGCAAGGTTGCTTCTGAAAAAAAGCTATATAGCTCAGTGGGCCTTACCTGGTAAAATAAAAATAGTTAATAGTTAAACAACGATTTTTCTATTGCACTTTTTCATCTTGTACATAACTTATATATGTACACACACACTTCTTGCGCAACAGGCAGAATAAATGTGCTCCAGTTAGATTAACTATTTTGTTTTTTGAGCAAATGTGTGTTCAAAATCTCCCTGGTTTTAGTTGGCAGTTGTGAGATTTTGTTATTGCATTTGTTACGTGAATTTGTAAGCTCACTGAGGGCACACGTCTTTGATAAGGGGAAAGCCAAGAACGAATACAGTGAGGGAAAAAAGTAATTGATCCCCTGCTGATTTTGTACGTTTGCCCACTGGCAAAGAAATGATCAGTCTATAATTTTAATGGTAGGTTTATTTGAACAGGAAGAGACAGAATAACAACAAAAAAATCCAGAAAAACGCATGTCAAAATGTTATAAATTGATTTGCATTTTAATGAGGGAAATAAGTATTTGACCCCTCTGCAAAACATGACTTAGTACTTGGTGGCAAAACCCTTGTTGGCAATCACAGAGGTCAGACGTTTCTTGTAGTTGGCCACCAGGTTTGCACACATCTCAGGAGGGATTTTGTCCCACTCCTCTTTGCAGATCTTTTCCAAGTCATTAAGGTTTCGAGGCTGACGTTTGGCAATTCAAACCTTCAGCTCCCTCCACAGATTTTCTATGGGATTAAGGTCTGGAGACTGGCTAGGCCACTCCAGGACCTTAATGCGCTTCTTGAGCCACTCCTTTGTTGCCTTAGCCGTGTGTTTGGGTCATTGTCATGCTGGAATACCCATCCACGACCCATTTTCAATGCCCTGGCTGAGGGAAGGAGGTTCTCACCCAAGATTTGATGGTACTTGGCCCCGTCCATCGTCCCTTTGATGCGGTGAAGTTGTCCTGTCCCCTTAGCAGAAAAACACCCCCAGAGCATGTTTCCACCTCCATGTTTGACGGTGGGGATGGTGTTCTTGGGGTCATAGGCAGCATTCCTCCTCCTCCTCCAAACACAGCGAGTTGAGTTGATGCCAAAGAGCTCCATTTTGGTCTCATCTGACCACAACACTTTCACCCAGTTGTCCTCTGAATCATTCAGATGTTCATTGGTAAACTTCAGACGGGCATGTAAATGTGCTTTCTTGAGCAGGGGGACCTTGCGGGCGCTGCAGGATTTCAGTCCTTCACGGCGTAGTGTGTATCCAATTGTTTTCTTGGTGACTATGGTCCCAGCTGCCTTGAGATAATTGACAAGATCCTCCTGTGTAGTTCTGGGCTGATTCCTCATCGTTCTCATGATCATTGCAACTCCACGAGGTGAGGTCTTGGATGGAGCCCCAGGCCGAGGGAGATTGACAGTTATTTTGTGTTTCTTCCATTTGCGAATAATCGCACCAACTGTTGTCACCTTCTCACCTTCTCACCAAGCTGCCGGGCAATGGTATTGTAGCCCATTTCAGCCTTGTGTAGGTCTACAATCTTGTCCATGACATCCTTGGAGAGCTCTTTGGTCTTGGTCATGGTGGAGAGTTTGGAATCTGATTGATTGATTGATTGCTTCTGTGGACAGGTGTCTTTTATACAGGTAACAAACTGATATTAGGAGCACTCCCTTTAAGAGTGTGCTCCTAAACTCAGCTCGTTACCTGTATAAAAGACACCTGGGAGCCAGAAATCTTTCTCATTAAAATGCAAATCAATTTATAACATTTTTGATATGCGTTTTTCTGGATTTTGTTGTTGTTATTCTGTCTCTCACTGTTCAAATAAACCTACCATTAAAATTATAGACTGATCATTTCTTTGTCAGTGGGCAAACGTACATAATCAGCAGGGGATCAAATACTTTTTTCCCTCACTGTATGTCATCCTACAAAAATGGTGTAAGAATTTTTTTATAATGCAAAATCATGTAAAAGGTTTAACAGATTTTAAACGTTGATTTGAAGCTTTCGTGACCGCAGGAATCCATACTCTTTGGTTCTTTCGGTAAAGTCACGTAGGTAGAAATATAAAATAAAAAAATAATATATCACGACGTTTCGATCGCAACACAAGCGGTCGTCCTCAGGCTGAAAAAAAATAATCCAGCAGTAGAACTGCTGAACCAGCGAGAGCTGTTACAACAAGGTGTTGTGATCGAAGTGTCGTGATATATATGTTTTCTACCTACGTGACTTTACCGAAATAACCAAAGAGTATAGATTTTAAATGATACTAAACATTCAAAAGTCTAAGGTTATGTAATGTATTGTACATATAATATAATTTAGTCTACAAATTGTTCAAAACAAATGTTGGCAACGTCATCATAGCTCAAGGACATGAGTCATTCTAATTACCCATGGAATGGAAAAAATATCTAAACTAAGCAAACATTAAACATTGCTGTTGGATGCACACGGGAGAATTGTATGCAATTCAAGAATTGTATGCAATGTATGCAATGCAAGAAATGCATGCACGACTTTGGAGTGCATATAAATGGTATACGTAGAGCAAATACATACTGTACAAGGCACTTGGGAGCAGTTATCATCATTGCATCCTGATGTCAGCTTGCTCTTCAACTGTCCTCATCCCCACTTAATATTTGTTGTCACAGTCTTTCCTAGTTTGGAGGGTATTGTGTCACACAAAAACATATCCTTCTTCCAGTACTGCACCTCCCAACACTGCATCATTGCACATCCCTGCTTCATATATGTTAATATCAGTAACCCAACCTTGTGATATTTGGTAGGGATGAAGCCAGTGCTTTACTAGATTTCTGTTGGTCTCATTCATGACAGGCATACAGTATTCAGAATTAATGTGGGCTAAGAACTATGGCATTCATTTCGCGAGGTAATATCTGATGAATCGGCCCATTGGGCCGAAGCCTAAATGGCTGCACTGCACCAGCTGCAGGCTTATGTCAGCCTCTCTTGTGGTTAAATGACTGTTAAAATCTTTACAGACTATGTTCTAAAAAGTGTTCACATTTAAACAAAAATATTCCTTAAGAATAAATCTTCAGGTTAATTTTGTTTTGACTTTATTTCTGAAAACAACATAGCTCAAACATGTGCTTTTTCTTTCGCGTTCTAAACTTGCAGTACTTGTATTAATGCATTCAGTCTTAAGTGAAAGATAATGGGCCCAGGCTTTAGAAATCACAGCGCATTGATTCAAATGGGGGCACTCGACATATTTGAAGTGCCCTTGCTTTTGAATGCAGTAATCTACCATATTAAAGACATTAGAGAGCTGCATTTAGCTTTTTTTCCCAGTGCTTCTCCAATGTGGGCCAATAATGGCTGAAGGATTGCTTGAATTCCATTAAGGCTGAGCACCATTTTAAGTTAATGATTTTTTTCCACTTTGACACATTGCAACTGCTAGATCATTACCAATACGTCCCAATGGCTCTCCTGGTCAGCTCGTGAAAATTTCATTCCCACTTCTTAAAATGGCCCTAAGTAACCATGGAAATCACTGGCAAGGTCACACAAATCTCGTAAATTATTCCTGACCTACCTCATGAAAAAAAAAACAAATTAGCTGTCTGTATACTGCTGTGACCTAATTTACACCTTTCTAAAAAAGTCAACCAGAAGATTCTCCAACAACACAGTACTAAGCTTCAGTAAAAAAAAGCATTGTGAAGTTCAATGCATGTAAACGTGGTCATACTGCTCTGCAACAAATGTGTAAAGTAAGTGTCCTAATGTCATTCTGTAAAGGAGAAAGACTTTTGTGGGGAAAAATATATAATTCATACCAATTTACAGTGTAACTGAGATGAGACCTAACACCCCATAAAATCTCACGAGTGTTTTAATATAAAAAAGAAGAGAAAATCATAACCACCTTCCAGACACAATTGCTATAACTGGAACAGATTCGGTCCGACCAGTAGCAGTCACTCATCAGCAAAATCTACAGTCACAGGGAAACCAGACTGAGTGACGCACATGGGTAGATTACCCAACAGCCATACTTTAAATTTATGAAGCCACTAAAGCATAGAAAAACAAATACTCTAATTGCATTTATGTTGCCATTCATGATTCGTAATATTACATTCCATGCAGCGTTTTAAAAGAGTTACCTGAAAATGCAAATACCAGTTTCATGTTTAGAATGTTTGTGTTTTCATCATAAAAATTATCCAACCGTCTTAACCTGTTTGAAACCCGATATATTAATCCAGAAAAGTGTAACTGTGACAGGCAATTCAACTCACAATTGGTCAGTTCAGGAGTTAATATCTAAGTCAGGATTGACAGAGGCAATGATCAACAATGGTTATCTAATGGAGAGAAACCTGAACAAACACCTTTGAAATATGGGATTTCAACCATTTGAAATGAATGTCACCCCGTGGAAATTTTTAGCAAGGAATGCATTTATATGTGTATTAGGGAGGTCCTTACTTAGAATGAGGACCATGGTCACGACCACTAAACATTTTTTGATTAGGCTACATTTCACGGTGATGCATAATTGGACAACAAGAAATGTCAATCTTAAAACATATTTAGAAAAATAAGGATCACCCAAAAAGTATATACGTGTTTTCTCTACGATGTCAAGATTGCACAGTACTCCCCCCGTGTCTGTGCCTCGGCTTTCTTGCAGGTCAGACTCAGCGATCCTTTACAACGACCGCTCAGTCCTGGAGAACCACCACGTGAGCGCTGCCTACCGCCTCATGCAGGAAGACGAGGAGATGAACATCCTTATCAACCTGTCCAAGGATGACTGGAGGTGAGACAAGATCTACATCCTCAATGTTATCACTAAATGAATGTAAAGTAAAACAACTTTAACTTCAAAGTTATTTCGGGATGTATATCTTTTTTTTAACACAGAGACTTTTGCCAATCTATCTGATGCGGCCCCTTAAAATAAATAAAATAAATTATACTTTCAGGACCATGCGTGCACTGGAGAAACTCGGGTGGATATATATTAAAGCACCTCCGATTGGCACGGTTTGCTACGTATGGTGCGAAAGAGTGTTCAACATACATATATGGATTTTTTTTATCCACCGGTAACACAAACAAATGTAGCAGCATTTACAGGTTTCCCTCTCTTTGTGCGGTAGTTGTGCTCCAAGGAAAAAGATGCACAAAGCTAAAACTGCACGAGACAGCTGCCTGCTCAGTTGCACATACAGTATACACACACACAATGTTATCCCATCTCCAACCACATAGCCACATATGAGTGAGTTCAAACTGCAAAGAGATTATTTTGGGTAGAAATAGGCGAGACGCATAAATGCGAAATTGCACAAACTGAACCTGCATGAAGCGAGGGAAACTTTTACTTATTTCCTACAGGCCACGCTGCTCATACTTGCAAAATGATATAGAGGGTGCTTCAAATTTGTTTTTAAACTTCTGAGAATTTGCAACAATACCACGAGAAATACGCCTCCGGGCTCTGGAGACCGCCTGGAGAAGATTCTAGGCACGCGTTTACAATGATGGCGTAAAAGTGGAGACTCTTTGACTTTTGGAAGCTATTAACAAAGATTTTTTTTATGTTGCAGCATATTATCCGTTCTTTTTGCATTAAAAACGATAGTCCCATATAAGTTTTAACATCTTTTTTTAAGCACCCTGTATTTACTTTGGGAGCCGTGGTCGTGAGATGTTATATCCCTCGCCTGGTACACAGGAGGTTGTGGGTTCGATCCCAACTCTGACGATGCCTGTATATTTAGAGTCTGCATGTTTTCTCCCTGTGGTCACATACATTTTTCTCCAGGTCCTCCGGTTTTCCCCTCCACATTTATAAACATACATTCAGATTATTTTGCTGCGACTATAAATTCCCACATATTCAATCAATCTTTATTTTGCGTGCCAATATCGCCCTCAATAAAGTAGGCATCAGTGCACACTATAACAAACAAGAACGGTATCGGGGCATATTATGATAAACCACTTCGATGAGCTATCATGTGTGGCCAGGTTGCCTGTGAAAAAGTTATACAAGAGCTCAGTGGGCTTTACCTGCTAAATAAAATATAGAATGATAGCAAAAATTGCACGAAGTGGTACCATCTTCAATTTGAATTGAATAAGTGCGCACTACTGTGGGATGAATACGCTCCACAGTGATCCCTTTTAACTTTGTAAGCCACCTATTGCGACAGTGCCAAATGGGATCCCGGCAGGAAGCATTGGCCGACATTTTAACGCTCCATTAAACATTATCATCTGGAGGGACAGTTTGTGTTGATGCCACACTATCTTAGCTGCTTTTTGAAAGAAAAAAAACGTTGGTACGCTCGAGTTGCTTTCATGTCAGATGTCGTTGGAATATTGACTTGACATGTCCTCTAGAGATATACAGCATTTGGCAAGAGACTAATGTTCTCAGTTGAGCTTACGTTGGCTGGAGCAAGAACTGGACAGCCACTAATGTGTAAAAGTTTTAGGCAATTTGTTTACTATGGCATTTCAATGCTCTACAGTAATGGATGTTTTCTTGTTTGTGTTTATTAGAGGTTCGTTAATGCACATGTCTATGGTGAAAAAAGTGTTGGGTTTTAACATAGAGCTTTACAAATGTTCATATTTTCTTAGAATCATATGGGAAAAAGTTAACTTTGTGAAAAGCATGTTAATATGTGCAATCTTATTATTTTATTTGTGGATGCATATTAAGATACATTCCAAACATTTGTCCATTTTTTATAATACTAAAGATTGTCATTCCAACTATAAATGGAGTATTATGAACAATAGTATAATAACCCTGTATTGGTATAGTTTAAGGCAACTTGTCACCTACATGTTAGTGAAAGAATGCCACTCAATATATTTCTTCATGCAATATTGTGTTCAAATAATGTTATATTGCCTTAACACACTACATGTATATTATCTTGATAAAAATATATATTTAGGCGAAATGTTACTTAGATTATATGTTAATGTTACTTTGATATCTCAAATTTGAGTTTTTCCCTCAGCTCTTTGAAAAATAACAAAATATTAATCGTATTGTAAGCAATAAGAAAATGGAACTTTTGTTACCAATTTCTATCGGTTACGCTCAATGAGCACGATTGGTTACGTACGGTGCGAAATAACTTCAACATACATACTGTAGATATGTTACGTTTAGAGTATAGTCGACACATGGTTTTTGTTATTTAAATTTAAAAGGTCATCAACAAACAAAAAACGGAAAATGTATCAAAGATTATTGTAAAGATACATTGCGAGGCAGAAAGAAGAAACACATGGGTTAGATGAACATGCACAGGTTAACTACGTAATTTCAAAATCAAGGAATGTAAGTGGGCTTGGGTAGGACGCATCACGGGCTAGAAGTGGCGATGGCAGATGGTCAGCAGTAAAGACAGAAGTGGTAGCCAATAGAACGGAACGCGTCCAAAAGGATGTCCACCGAGGAGATGGAGCGATTAATTCAGCTCGTGCAGAGGCGCGGTGGATTATCACATCGTAGGATCGTGAGAGATGGCAGTGGCTTGGGGAGCCCTTCATCCAGCAGTGGACCGACCATGGTTGACGATGATACTCCCAGACAAAAATAAAAACGTGCAGTATGTTACCGTAAATGTTACTTTGCATTGCCTTGATGTACCTCATTAATAATAATGCTCCCCCTAAAATGAAATCTGAGTGAGTGTGTTGTGTGCTCGGGCCCACTATCTAATGGGCATGCCATTTTGAAGCAGCTGTTGCTGTTGTTTGATGTCATATGGTGCCTGCAGTGGATGAATCCATTTTACCTTTTGGTAAAATATGACCCTTCAGAGACCGGTCTCATCAGCATCCCTTTGTTGATTTGTGAAATTATCTTTTTGATAACCATCTCATAATTGGAAATAAATACCCCGGGAAATAAATAGTTCACTTGTTTACCTGAGGCTTTGTTTGTTCAAGAGTCGCACTTTAAAAAAATAGTTATTTGCAAAGATTATAAAAACCTTGAATAGATGAGATGCTTGATGAAGATGTCAGACATTTCTTTATCTAGAAATACAAATACAGTAGTCGGTGTTGATTAATCCTGTTTCCTAATTTTCTCAAGCCAAGCCTGCACTTTGTAGAGGTATAAAACATACTATTACATTGGACCTGTTTTGGCAGTATCAACGTATGAAAAAATAAGAATACGTTTTACCCTTTCTGGAAACTAAACAGGTGTTAAGATGTTAAAACACCAAACTGAAACATTTTTGCAAGGAATCACGTCTGCATTAACCACAATGCTTGTGGTCAGAATGCAAACAAAAAAACATACTCTGATAATATATGCATTGTCCTTGAAACTGATTGGTCCACACTAGAGACAGCTTTCTTTTAAGCCTCGTCTCAAACGGTGTTAGACCAGAGGACGCCAAAAGGCGAAAGGCGTCCTTTGGTCTAATACCGTTTGAGACGAGGCTCAAAAGAAAGCTGTCTCTGGTGTGGACCAATCAGTTTCAAGGACAATGCATATATTACTCGAGCATGTTTTTGTTTGCATGTTCACCACAAGTACTGTGTGTGGTTAATGCAGACATGATTCCTTGCAAAAGGTTTATATTTGGTGTTTGAACATCTGAACACTTGTTTTGTTGCCAGAAAGGGCAAAACCTGTTCTTTTTTTATTACTGTTTTTATTCAAAGTATATTTTCAGATCTGACAAATAGTTAAATCAGTGAAAAATACAATAATTAGCTATACAGTATAATCATTCAATATTCTTGGTTCTTTCGGTAAAGTCACGTAGAACCAAGAATATGAATCCCTGCAGTCACGAAAGCTTTAAATCAAAAATCATTCAATATTCAACTTTGGCAAAACTCAGTTTTGGAAAGAGTTGTGTTTTCAAGTATTTATTACCCCATGTCCCTGGGGTCTACTGGCAGTGTGTATGAATACACTTTGGCAAAATTATTTACTCCCTTCTGATACTAACAAAAATGCTTTTCACTACAGCACTGACTTAGGAAACACTTCAAAGCGGAGTAAAAGTCCGTACTTTTTTGCAGTATGAATTATTCGTAGTCCACATCGATTTTGCATTGTCGTTCAAACGATTATATTGAACTGCTCACTTGGAGATTTTTTTTACAAGTTGGTCAATGTGATCCAGTTATTTGAGTTTCAGGTTATTATTGATTTGTTACACAGATGGTCCCGTTTAGCCAGTTTTATGGCTATTTTACTTGGGAGATCAGTGGTGCATACAGCAAGAGTAAAAACATCAATATGATAGAGAATGAGTGCAGAGTCCTTAAGGAATGTTGCATAACTAACAAACGAGATATTTGACGGTTTTAATTGAAACAAATGAGGCACCACATGACCCATATTTACATTTGGAATTGTATTTTCCAGAAATCGTACTGCTTTTAAACTATTTTCCAAGTTTCGATTTAAAGCTTTCGTGACTGCAAGGATTCATCTTCTTTGGTTCTTTCGGTAAAGTCACGTAGAATGAGAATAAAATAATAAAACAACACAATAAAATTCTCACGACGTTTCGGCCACAACGCAAGCGGCCGTCTTCAGGTGAAAGGAACAGACCTGTCGGGACGACAGAGCTTCAAGTGGTAATTTAGTATCCTGGAAGCAGTTGTTTCCACGCGATTCCTTAAGTTTAGAAAAAAAAACCGTATATCTGTAGTTGGGTAGCATTGTCCAGATTGCTGCTCTTAGTCAAATGACCAGTTTTATTTTGTTAATGGTATTTTAAAGAATACTCCCCAGGAGTAGGTGTTTCCTGCTGTGTTTCCATTTAACCATCCTGCCAAGGGTGTTGTTGTTCATTACATTTGTTTTGCTTTGCTGCTGCATAATAAGAAAGCACACTTCCTGCTGCAATTGGTCACGCTTCAAATGGTCACGCTAATCTTCCAAAAATCTAAGAATCAACAGTGGGATAATACCGTTGAATGGGTGGTAGAAATGAGAAGCCACTCTAATGGACTCTCTGATTCATACTGAATAATGGCATCTCTTTAAATTACCCATGTTTGCCTAGGGAGTTGCGTGCCTTGGTGGTGGAGACGGTCCTTGCTACAGACATGTCCTGCCACTTTCACCAACTCAAGTCCATCAAGAACCTTCTGCAACAACCTGAGGGGTGAGCCACCTTACACCTCTCCTCTCTTCATTTACATCTCAAATCAGCGCATGGATACAGATCTTCATTGGACTCCTGTTTTCACGACATTGCTTGTGTTTATGTCCATTTCTAAATGTATCTATTTTACAAATTGCAGGTGTCCTCTTACATGTGCTTGCTGCATTAAAGGAGAGTCTGATCTATTTCAACAGCACTGTGATAACATTCCTAAGCTCTTTTGACCTTGCAGTGGAGGAATGTACGCTTGTAACAACCATACCTAAAAATAGGTGTGATCACTGCTCACATGCAATGCCAGAGAAATAGTTTTAAAATCTTATTTTTATCCAGCATGTGTTTGTTTGCCACTATTACACATCATGTGTTTGTTTGGAGCTATTATGACACAACTCTCTCGAGTTAAATAGGATCACATTAATAATAATAACAATTAGTGTGACCCTTTGTCAAGCAACTGCCTATTGTGGGCTATTGTGGGCCTTCTCACACCATCTTCGTCATGGGTTTTCTTTGGTACTGTACTCTGCAACACTCATCAGTTTGGCCTTGTTAAGGTGCGGGGACCAGTACCAGTTTGTATGTCACTAGCCACAGTATGGATTATTTATTTGTCGACACTTTTGGCAAAAAAAACAGGAATAAAAAGAACTAGGGCTACACATGTTCCAAAAGACCGATGCACGTGCTCAAATATTGGAGTGTTCTCCAGCGCTGACCTAGGATATCGGAATAGATAGGAAAGACTCACCACAGACGTTAGCCATAGCCAGGAATGTAAATGAGGTCACCAATTGTTTACGGTGAGATGCGCTAACCGGTATCTAAAGTGCATTTACATATGGTACATTAAATATATCCAGCCTATGTCCAGCCTTTTCCATCCAAGACGTTGAATGTTACTTTCTAAAGGGATCATTTGTATTTTTGCAAGGTACACAATAAATATCTGATGCAGTTAAATGTAAATGTTATTCAAAGCCTTCAGACATGTATATTAATCTATATATATAGAAGGGTTACTTGTTTGTGTGTGTTGTTTTGCCAGACATCTCACCGAGTTTATTGTGAACAATAATTTTGCTGTAAGATTTTGTGAATGGGTTGAGAATGTATGGGAAGATGAAGGACACATTCAAAATTGGGGGAAGAGAGCCTTTAAGGGGAGGTCGTAAGTGAGGGGAGTTGTGAGAGGTTTTGGAGGTTCAGATTAACTGTGCTGTAAGAGGAAGGAGAAAGTTAGAAATGTGAACATTTTCCACTGGTTTAGCTCATGGGTTAATTGAATGAATTAATCGTATTGCATTCACTCACACTGTATTCGTGCGCAATTATTAAAATAAGCAAATGCTTTCAACACATTTACATGATTATCTGCGATGCAGATAATCATGTAGCTCTTCCGACAAACACATCCATTGAAGTGTTAAATTTCCCATTTTAAAATAATGCAAATATCAATAATGACCACTCAACTGTAGCTTTCATAATTTTGCATTATTTATCATTTAAAAATTAATTAGGTAGAAAACCAGCTTTCATGACATATTTCAAGATTAATTTGCTTCTTCGCTGGTGTGGAAATAAAGCCAAGTAAAATAAATTGATATCAATCATGGCACGGCAGCTCTTAAATTATGTTGCCGTTTTTTTATCTCCATGTCTGTATTATTGCCAGTGTCCTTTTTTGTCGCTGTAGTCTCTATCTGTAACACCATTATTTTATTATTATTAAGAGCAACACTTTCATTTTGAAAAGCCCATTTCTGACAAATATTCAAAAGAAATATATATTTATTTGAGTAATTGCCGATGGGTGCATTTGCCATAACAGACAAAGCACCTGCACATTCGTTCAGTTTTATTTGGGGATGTGGACAAGAGTAAGATTCAGCCATAGGCTGCTTTACAAGAGAGGCGCGTGGAGTACCGTATGAGAGAAGTTACATTGTTAGCATAGAGAACAACAAATAATAATAAATACGTAACAACAATAATTAATAAAAAAAATCTTACGAGGTGCACATACTATCTGCTCAGCAGATAAATTTTGCTCTCACTTTTCATACTTTATATTCACATCGGTAATACCGTAATACACATTCGATATTACATAATGTTATTTATCAACTCACATGATCATTCTTTATATTATCAATATGTATACGGTGGTGTATCGTAAACACGCTGCGCACGTGTGAGCAGCCATCTAATTCTTCCAGACTCAATGCCAAGTAGGATCAAACGTCTGCATTGGGCGTTTGCCACATCAATGATCAAACATACGCATCTGTCAATCCTCCCTTGTGGTGTTATCCTTGGCTGCCTTTAAGAAAATACTAAGAGCAATATTCATAAAGACTCTTGCACAAGCTTTATTTTATGTACCTGGAATGTATATGATGAAGGGATAAAACATCTTCAAGAAATTTTATTCTGCAGAAGTTGTTATGCAAAAAATTTCAGGGCATACAAAAAAGGTAACGATATGGAACAAAGTGAGATGTCTCATTCGTGATCCATTTGAGTTCTTGGTTTTTCTTTAAAATCACCTTTGAGCTCACATGATTTAAATTTGCTTGATCGTAATGCAGAATAGATATAATAAAACAAATATTTGAACAAAGTAGTGATGCAATTGTACTTAATGACATGTCAAACACTGGTTAAGTAATATGACTGCCATTAACTTTCTGCTGTGGGTTTGTTAGTATTTCCTGAGCGAGATGCAGTATTTTTGTTTTGGTGATGGGATAACATCTACAATTTAGCATTATTGAGGTTCCTTTCAGGCAAATTACATAATTAAATTTTGCTTACTATAGCGCTCAAACTTATAGGTGGATGGCAAAACTTAATCCTTTTTTAATGTGCAACTCTTTCGTTATAAAACAAAACACTTGATATAAGTTTTGGATGCCCCATGTCGCAAGCTCTTTGCGTCCACAGTATTGATCTTACCGCGAAAAAATAACATGGCTCTCAGAGCACTCACAGCACACGACTATAAATTATTGTGGACAACTATATAATTACACTGTACTAAAGTTACCATATATTCCTTTGTGTGACCATGGCTTTGAAGGTTGCTGTCTATGTATAGACTTTCAATGATCGATTCAACACCAAAGTTAATCTTGAAAAGGTGGCCTATTTTAAAATACACCATTATGGAGGAAAACACATTGTAGGTTTACTTCACGTGGATAAACGTGTTACTAACTTCTGCATGCTTCCTCTCTGTGCCAGTGTTTCTGTTCCAGGAGATATCCAGTCATACCCCAGTTTGCGTCTCCCCTTTTTACGTGATTTGGCAAAGACGTCGTCACATTTATTAATACCAACACCTAATTTGCGTCGCCTCAACCCACGCTTACATTGCTGACGGCATCATCCGTCCTTTCTTTTGTCCGTCGCCTCGCCCTTCACCTCCACCTACCCTGTACCCGACCAACCGTACTTTGGCTGGCCGCATAGAGAAATGTGCTGGACTGTAGAGTACAATAATTTATTATGTACAAATATTTTTTTGTTCATTTTTAGATGTGCTATATGTTATTGTGCCCGGTATAATGTGCGTTAAAGTTTACTGCTGTACACTAGTGTTGAGTACAATATTTCTAGTAATTTAATGTAGCATTGTGGGCATGTCTAGGATGAAGATGCGCGCATTAACATAGAGCCTCACGATACGCCCACTGTCTTTGTTTAGCTCTCGTGGAAACATTGCTTTGATTTACTTCGTTTCGATATTCGTTTCGCCTTTCAGGAACGAATCCTCGAGGTGAACCGGGGCATTTATTGTAATAGGGTACCGAGACCTCCACAATTATTTCACAAGCAAAGGAATTTTGCAAAGTCATTAATTTTACATACGGAAACACAGGCCACTTAGCAGTACACTGTTGAAGTGTGCAAATGCTGAGCATTGTAAATGTATTGGCATCTAATTGGGAGTGGTGAAAATAGTGAACATAATGGTATAAAACAATTGAAGACATTGGTGTAGGGTGTAACGTATGTATACAACAAGCATTACTGATATTTAATAGTCTAGCATACAGTAAAACAAAAGTATAAAATTAATTAAAGAAAATTATTACATTTACATTCATTTTATTCTATAAATACTTACGAGCAGAGCACAAACCAGGATGGGTAATAAGGGCCAGCAATATTTCACGTGCCCGGTATACGTATGATCTTTACAGTTAAATGGTAAGGCCACGTTGTAAACAATGAGCCTCATAGTAAATCAGCGCGGACACCAGTTAGTGCAATAACTCAGGGAGAACGACTCTGTTGGGTTATTCATACCTCCAGGTATGAGAGTCCCCAAGGTCAGAGTCTATCAACAAATCAGAGGGAAAATGAACACGGACAGGGCGGGCTACAGTGTGAATAGGAAGGGCATGTTAAGATACATTTTCGAAAAAAAGCAGGCTTGTTTGGAATGACCTTGTGGGGAAATCCTAAAGAGAAAAAATGGCAGAAATCAATTAAATCTGTGTTAGCCTTGAGGCATCTCGTGGGCTACATTGAGCGCCTCTGAATATATAAAAAGCATTCAGATGATTATGATTACACATCACACTTTCAGCAAAACTGCTCTCTCTCTCTTATTTTGGCTAGTGTAAGGTTTTAAAATGTAAACAAAGTAAACGTCTGTGTTTTATTTGTTAGCTTTTAGGTCTTTGAACAGGCACTCTGCTTTACTGGTGAATAATATGAATGTGTTCTGGGAAGACTGCACTTAGTGCTTGATTAGATTTTAATAGCAATTGTCTCTGGAGATTTCATGAAATGTTATCCTTTTTTTTAAAGCAAAGCCTAAATAGAGGAGGCAACTTAAAATTTAATGGCAAGACCATGGATATAATTATGAGTTCTGTAATAGGTCTGAGCAAACACTTCTCAGTATAATCATTCAGAGCTACTCTGGCACTATGCTGCTGTCTCCACGGTGACAAATGTGAGAATCATTAAGGCTATGTTACTTA